CCAGGATGTTGCTCAGGCATTGCCTGCAAACGCTGCTGACTGCCAGTTAATACTAGTGTGGCTGTTCTGACGGGCACCCCTCGGAACAAAGGAAGGTTTGTTCTCCTGATCAAAGAACCTGCTGAGGCTTGCAGTGAAGAACTTTTAAGACAAATCTAAGCCCAACTAAGAACATAATGGACAAAACCATCCTAAAATGTCCCTGAGAAAAAGGCATGACGTTATGCCTACCAGTTCTTAACTTTAACTAGGCAGGAGTGACCAACCATCCGTTTCCCCAGGATTAGGGGGGGTCCAAGGGACAAGGGATGTTCAGTGCTAAAATCTGTAAAGTCACGAGGCTGTAATTTGAAGGAAGACCTTAAAGGCATAAAATACATTTCTTCTCAGAGTAGGTGAACAGTTCATTAACAGTGTATGAAATTTACTGGTTTTTCAAGCTTAACTAATCCTCGGCAAGGCATGGATTAAAATGGAAGAATGTTACCCAATTTTCAGATTGTTCTTTGTTTCTGATCATTTACGGTTGCCCTAAACAAATCAAGATATCAGGGAAAAAACATATATCAGGCCTGACCAGTAATAGGCCACTGCAAAATTATTCCTTTACCACTCAGGCCTTTGGAAAACAGTGTTCCCCAGAGTCCAAACTCCTGGCAGGAAATACTGAGCAAATTTTCCCCTTTGTCTTGTGACCACCAGCTGTGCCTCCTTCTCCAGGGCATTCCTTCCTCCTCAATTTTCAGGCAAGTTTTTTACAGAAAATATACAGCTAGCCAAGCCAAAGAGCTAAGTTTTTAAAAAAATGACTAGTCATTAACCAGTAAAATCAGGCTCTCACTCTTATCTCATATAATATTTCTGGTTTGCAAGGCCATCTAGTAGAGTACCTCTCAAATGTTAACGTGCACATCAATCACTCAAGGATGCTCTTAAAATGCAGATTCTGATTCAATACATCTCAGGAGGAGCCTGAGGTTCCAGGTGAGACCACTGCAGGTACACCCATCACACTTGAGGTAGTAAGAATTTTGTAGAATAATATTCTCCATATTTTTTTAAATTGTGCATTACTATTAGTTTAAAAATGTGAGCATGCACTCAATATATGTATATTTATATTTTATATTCACATGTTAGTACAGCATAATTTCATTTTTATTTTAAAAAATTCTTGTGAACTCTATTTTTTATTCCAGCACAACACCAACTCATCTAGTTCACAACCATTTTGAGGAACATTGAATCTGGTAACACACACATTATGTTAACATTCAGTGTATGTTCGTATTTCCCCAGAAATAAGAAAATCGCTTCAACTCAGGGAGGCTGTTCTAGCTCTGCATAATGAATTGTTATAAAGTCCTTCCTTCTTTTGGTTTGATTCTATGCTTTGTATCCAAAGGTTTACCTTTGGGGGTATGCAAAACAAGCCTAAACCCACCTAACATTATTGCAACTCCTATCACTGAAAAGCTCCTGATTTCCTTAACGTAAAAAGAGTATCTATAAAATAATAATACAAGCAACCCAACAGAAAAAAAATAGGGCAAGGACATAAATATGTATGATGAACAAATATCTAAAAGTGAAAAGTTAATCATTCTCACTCAGATAAAAGAAATGCAAATTAAAACTAAGATGAGGCACTATTTTTCACTTGTCAAAACAGCAAAGATAAAGAGAAATTGGGTAAATATGTTGTGTTAGTGATGCTGAGGGAAAATAGGTACCCTCATACATCGCTGCAATGTCAATTGATACAACCTTCATGGCAGATGTTTAATGAAGCCAGTAAAGATCAGCTTTTTGAAGAATATTGGGAAAATGCTGAGTATAATGTTAAGTTTTAAAAAGGCACAAAACATACACAATATAACACGAGAAAAAAGTCCTGGAAGAAAATACATCAAAACAATAGCAATACCTATTTCTGGATGGTAAGACAACTTAAGAAGTGATTCTAACTTTGTTCTTTATGCTAATTAGCATTTTCAAAATTTATAACAAGCCTGTAGAAAATGCCCCAGGGATGTACAGAGCAAGAGCAGAGCAGACTCGCTGGACACCATGGACAATCCAACATGGAGTGAGTCCTGACAGTCAAGTGCCATGCCAAGGCTGAGGTGACGGGGTGTACGGGCATGCCTTTGGGAGGGCCCAGGATGCCCCACATCCCAAGTCTGGGCACCTGGATAAGGACTCCATCTGGACCCATATGAATGGCTCCTCCGCCCCTGGTGGGCTGCAGGAGCTCAGAGCTCCAGCCACCCGACGCTCGAGCCCGGCTGCACCCCGGGTCACCCAGAGCCCCGCCGGACTGCAGCTCCACGGGGCGCACGCTGCCGCTGCCACCGCCACCGCCACCGCCCGGCTTGGGGCTGACGCCGCCTCTCCACCTGCAGGCGCCACCAGCGACCAGGACTGCGCTCTGGGCACTCGCTCGGCTCGCTTCCCCTCTCTGCGTGCAACCCGCGTGAGACTCTACTGGCTTATTGGGGGGGGGGTCTCCCTAATAAACCTGGTATTGTGGAAAGACACAGCCGTGTAACTCCTTTCGAGGGTGCTCCCTTGCTCATGACAAAGGAGGTGATGCTAGCCTACAAGTGGACCTTGTTTTAAATCGCAGACTTTCAAAGTTCACAGTAAGACAGAGCTGACTCCTTGGCTTACCTACACTCCCGGGGGAAACTGATACAGTTGATTCCAGTTTCTTGTGGTACTTATGTTCTATAAAGCTGCCAAGATCACTGACTTAGCGACCTGTGGGCCACCGTTTCTGGAGAAATACAGGGTTGCCACCCTGCGAGCTTTTGGCCACATTTTCATCAACTGACCAATACACAACCTTGTTTTATATTTGTTTCTGTCTAAACTCACCTTACTTAACATATATTGTTGATTAATTAACATTGAACTCACAGCCAACAGCACTGTAACTCATGCCCAAAAGAAGCTTATGTAACACACTTATTTTCTCTATAACACACATCATAGCCTTTCCGCACTTAGGGACACCAGATAGCACTTCAATTGGGGGCCATTTTAAGCAGTGAAATCACCAACAAAAAGCACTACAATGTGAAAAACATCACACCAAATAGGCCTCAAGGAGGATACTTGTTTACAGCACGAGAGCTGGAACAGGAGGCAGAGCCCTGAGTTCAGCCTCAGCCGGGAACATGCGCCTTGGGCCGGTCTGTGCAAGCCCATGAATCAGAAGTGTTGATTCTGGGATTACAAATAAATTTAGTGAGTAGGCGAATCACAAATACAGAATTCACAAAATAATGAGGATCAACTACAATTATGAATCTAGTTCTAAGGAAGATTCTTACTCAAAAGAAAAGAGTCAAATGCCAATATTCTACAGCTGAACTCCTTCAGAGCAGTTTAAAGTTGAGTACCTTACAATTTACAACAGTCCTCATTTCTATAATGGAAAAAAAAGCAATGTATTTTGTCATCCCTTTTATATACTCATTGTCTTCAGGAAAAGCCAACTCTTTTCACTATCCAATTAGATTCTGCCAGTAGTTACGGAGTATCTCCAACTGGAAAACATGGAGATGTGTGAGATTACCTCAGCTGAAGCAATTTATAGTCCTCTTGAGCATGGCCAGGGGAGGTGGCGGCTGAGGCAACTCCTAAGTCCAATTCAAGACAGACAGAATATGACTGAGGCCACCATAGAGGTCTAATGTTCTAATGTGTGTGAGCCTGGTAAAAATATAATGCTAAGGGGACCAAATGAGGGAGCAAGTGCATCCTCTTGGGATTGTCTGGAAAACTTGATGGAAAAAGTGATATTTGAAAAGACCATGAAAGATTAGCAAGTGGTAACTGGAACTGTGGGATGGAGTGGTGAAAATGTCTTCATACCAGTAGCAAAAGAGCACAGTGAGAACACATGATTTGGAACTGGGTCAGAATCCAGAATGAGACAACTGGAAAGCAAATGGCTAAATGACAAAGGTTCATTCCACCTTTACACTGCAATGGTCAACTGTTTACCTGTCCATCTTTTGCCTCCTTAACTAGACAGCATACTGGAGACAAGTAGGGGTCAGGCCTCATTCTTTGTTAGCCTCCCTCCGCCTTCTTCCCACACTCCCTGCACACACCCTAACATACAAAAGATTGCTCAACACCAATGCCTGCATGTCACCAGCTTTCAATAAATATTTACTCATTCAATAATTGGCTTGACAAACTAAGTCTTTAACAAGCCCTGGTGTGTTTACTAAAATTACAAGTTCTTCTCAAGGAGCAGATGGCTAAACTTTGTAACTACGAATTAACTGTCCCTGTATTTTCCCAGAATGTATGTATGTGTGGGGAACAGAAATCTTTGAAAGTGCCACAATATTATATTACACATTTTTATTTTTGTATCTAAAACTGAAAACAAATGTGCAATAGAATCTCTGTAAATTTTACAGTTAAATTTGTAAATGGATATGTATGTCCTTAAAATTCTAATTTTTAGGCTATGTTCTATTTCAACCCCCTTGATTATATACAATTCCTTAGAACTGAGTTTAAATACTAATAGTGTTCTTGGACTGTCTTTGAGTTTAAAATATTATATTACATGAGCTTAACCATTTCTGAATATTCTTAAAGAGAAATAAGCTTTCGATAGAAAATTATTTTAATCACATGTTAACCTTTTTCTTCCATCTCCAATAAATTTTAATTAAATAAATATTTTAAGAAGTCAAATCTTGCTCTTAATTAACTGCTTGAACAGAAATGTCTCCAGTGGCACAAATTCAAAGAATATTAAAAACAGTAAATATTTCCATTTGAGTATACTTCATGTAAAATAGATATTAAAATTCTCTAGTAGCCAGTCAATAGCCAGGAACTTATAAATTAATTTTTTACTATTATTCACTGCTTCTAAAATTGAATTTTCCATTAGAAATGATTAGTAAATCTAAAAACAGAGGCAAGTTTTAAAATATACACTTTTGGAGTAAAATTATTTTACTTACTGTTTCAAAACCTCGATGTGGGTGATCAGGAAATCCACCTGGTTTACCACCTTTAAATTCATCAAACAGTAAAAACGGATCCAGATTTTTTAACTGAAATAAAAATAAAATTCAGATTAGACATGTCTTTTACACCACACTACTAGGGGCTATATTCATGAACAGATCTAGCAGAACTCATTGAAAACTACACAGCCAATGAACAACTTTCTGAAATGAAAATTGCTTTCAGGCAAGAACTCCTGACCCCCCCACTCCCTCCACACACACTGATTCACTGATTAAGTTAGTTAACATTTTATGAGAAGTGTGAACAGTGGACAAACATTTCATAATCATCTAAGAGCTAAATACTCAAGCAGAAACTAGATACAGTCTGTATCCTAAGCAGATTCATAATCTCATGGGGGAACAGACAAGGAAGTCAACGATTGCACTGTGATGATAAACACTCTGGAGGAAGACACGAACACGAGAGTGGGGTAGGGTCAGGGAAGGTGTCGCTTAAGCTGGGTCTTGAAGTACACGTAGCACTTAAGTAGAAGAGGGAGAAGGAAGACTGTTCCAAGAAAAAGAGCAGAGACACAGCATGGCAAGCTTGAAGAACCGCAAGGTAGCTGCTCTACAGGGGCAAAAGATGCACATGGAGTTACGATGAGAGATAACGTGAGGAGACATGTCAAACCTTAAAGGAGTTTGGGTTTCATCTTGAAGGGATGGATTTTAATAGAGGTTGAGACGATGAGATTTAGAAAGATCACTCTAGCATGAGGAAGATAGTTTGGAAAAGGAAGAGAAAGGAGAAAAGGGGTATTTAGAAAGTCACATCAATAGTCCGGCAAGGACAAAGGCCAGGCCTAAGGCAATGGCAGTGGTGGCGGAGAATGGGGAAAAGGGAGAACAATAGATAACTCCTAAACTTCTAGCTACAGTGCCTGGGAGGACGGCAGGGCCATCCAGAAGCAAAGGAAGACAGCAGAAGCAGCCATGGCCACTTCAGTTTAGTTCACTTTGAGTTTGAGATACCTACATAAATGTTACCTGTATAAATAGAACTTTGAGTATTTAATGTCCAGTATATTATACAAAAGCTAGAAGGCAACTGAAGATAAATCTCCAGCTCAGATGAGAGGTAGAAACAGGTTGGAACTGCTCTGAATCTATGAACCAATTTGGAAAGAATGGACATTTATGTAATATTTAGTTATCCCCATTTATTAGGTCTTTGAAAGTGTCTTTCAGTAGGATTTGTTGTTTTCTCCACAAAGATTTTGCATAATTTTCTTCTAGCTAACATAATTTTTAAAGGTATTGTAAATAGTGTTTTTAAATTATGTTTTGAAGAGTTTGCTGCTGGGAATTAGAAATGTGGATAGAAAGGCAATTTTGAACACTTCTAAGTTCTTATTAATTTTAATAATTCATCTGTAGTTTCTTTTGGGTTTTCTTTGCAAACATTCACAGCACCAGTGTATTTATCAATATGCTTTTGTCCAACAGCTTACAAACAACTTTTTTGCTTGCATTAAAGCTGTGGCAGGCCGCTAAGTTTGGCTGGCTTCTTCTACATGTCTTCTTACTCTGGGTCCTAAACTGAAACAGTGGCCACTATCTAGAACATGCTTTTCTGAGAGACAAGTTCAAGAGCAAAAATTAGCCAAGCCAATCATGCATAATCACATTAACACATCTTATTGGTCAAAGCCTGTGACATGGCCAAGGCCAAAAGTCAGGGAGGAGGGAACTTAAACCCTCCCACCTATGGGACTCGGGGCTAATGAAGCTAAAAGTGGGTGGGAGTGCATAATCCCATTACAGCAGTGATTGTGTGCAGAAAGAATGTTTAAAACATGCAATCCCTGACTATTTAGTGAGGAGCACTGACCTTTTTTCCCCTAGATTGTCAAATAAAAAAATGACAACAGCCAGAACAACAATAGCTGTCCAGTGTAAATGAATCAAAATAATAACTATTTTTTGGTCGGATCCACAAAAAATATTTTTAGTGTGCCACAGAATTTTAGTAATTAAACTAATTAATGTGTGCCATAAGATAAAAAAGGTTGAAAATTGCTGCATTGCAGGAAGGGAGTGTATATTCCAATTAACACCCATCAGAAAATAACATTTTTCCCTCATTTTAAATCTTTATACTTTCTTTTTCTTGTCTTTTTGCAAGCTAGCACCTCTACAACAATGCTGAGTAGAAATGATGTAATAGACATACTTATCTTGTCCCTGATTTTACAGATTGTTTTTTAAATTGTCACTGGTAATCAGGTAGTTTAATGCAGGTTTTCTGTAGATTTTCTTCATAAGGTTAAGGAACTTCCCTTCTATTTCTAGTTTACTAATTTTTTTAGCATAAATAGATGTTGAATTTTATCGAATATTTTTAGTGCGCTGTTAAAATGTTTTTTCTCCTTTAATCTGTTAAATTGGTAAATTACAGAGATTTTCTAACATTAAACTAAATTTGCTTTCTTCATATAAACCAAACTTGGTTATGATATATGTTTTTCATATACTGCTGTATTTGGTTAATACATTGTTTATGATTCTTGCAAATATATTCATAAATGTGATGTAATTATCCTTTCACCTGCTGTTCTTGCCTGGTCTTGATATCAATGTGACGTTGCTTCATAGTTATTTGAGGACTCCCTGGCACTTCATCTCCTGAAGAGTTTGTGCATTATTGGAATTACCTGTACCTTAAATTTTGGTAAAATTTGTCTGTAAAATCATCTGGATATACTTGTCTTTGTGATAAACTTTTTTGAAAATACTGATTCAATTACTCTAATGGCTCTGAAAGTGCTCAGATTTTCAATTTCTTCTTTCTTTCTCATAGATTTTGGACTCTATGGATATCTCTAACTTCCTATCAGATCAGCTAATTAATTTTTTAACTTTATTTTTCAATTATAGTTTGCATTCAACATTATTTCTTCTTTTTACATATTTATAATATTTTAATTATTTTCTATTACAGTTTACATTCAATATTATTTTGTATTCATTTCAAGTGTACAGTATAGTGGTTAGACAATCACATACTTTACAAAGTGTTTCCCCTGATATTTCAGGTACCCACCTGGCACCATGCATAGTTATTACAATATTATTGACTACATTCCCTATGCTGTACTTTACATCTCTGTGACTATTTTGTAACTGCCAATCTGTACTTCTTAGTCCCTTTACTTTTTGCACCCAGCCCCCCAAACCTCCTTCCTTCTGACAACCACCAGCCTGTTCTCTGTGTCTATGAGTCTGTTCGTTTTGTTTGTTCATTTATATTGTTCTTTACATTCCACATATAAGTGAAATCATACGGTATTTCTTTTTCTCTGTCTGGCTTATTTGGCTAGCTAATTTTGTTATTTATTTTTTTATTTTTATTTTTTTTTTCAGGGTATCTACTCTGTCATATTGCTAAAAATGAAAGAACCACTTTCTTTGTCTCTCTGGTTTTGATTATTGCTTTCACTATCTCTGTGTGTGTGTGTATTGTACACACACAGATTCAACAATCTACTGCAAGTTTTTTCACCTAACCAAGTCTCAATCTCTTCACTTTAAAATGTGGACTGTGGCCCATATAAAGCTGGGCAAGGCCATCTTTTGGTGGCCCATCTCAGCCTAGTGTTTCATAAAGTCCAATATTAAAAAGTAAATGAAAAACAAAATATTTATTGAAATCTTTCAAAAATGCCAAGCAGGGCTTCAACTTAAAGATATGTTTAAAATCCCTGTTATTCCTCTCCAATATATACCTGTATCTTCTTCAAATCTTCTCAAACCATCTGGAGACCACTCTTTCCTTTTCTTCCCCTCCCCTCTCACCTGAATCTACTCTTTTTCTTCCACTGGAAACCCTGCTCTTTCCAGTAAAAATCAGATCTTGGATCTTTGGATTTTATCCTGTCACTCATAACTCCATTTCACCTCAAAGAAACGTCACAAATGGGACTGGGGTTGCAGGAGAAGACGTTGAAAATTCTCATACCTCATTATATATGTTTTTACTTCTCAGGGGATAATATATACCTTGAAGGATTGGAAACAATGAAAGTAGAGCACCTTGTCTGGTGCCTGAAGCGCTCTAGGTTCTACATAAATGGGTGGTATCTGACATATCGCACTGGTTCTATAAATCTCTGAGTACAACTTACCCAGGTGCCAAACAAAGGGTTTAGAGCTTTAAGATGGCCTTTCAGTTCGACACTGTTGTAGTTCTATGGTATTAAAATATGGGTAAAGATGAGATAAAGAAATATTTATTGCTTCTTGGTGTCAAAGAGTTTCAGATGAGCAAATATGCCCTGCTATTAAATAAACTGTGAAAAGAGGTTCCCTCTTTCCAATCCTATCCTCATCATGATCCATCATCCGCGGAACAGCAGTTATACATTATTTGGAAAGTATTATTTGTCATATATTGATCGCATGTTTGATCCTTTTGATCACCAATCCATGACATATGGATACACACATGAAGGAAGCTAGTACAAGGAAAAGGCTGCAGAAGACAGGGGGCTGGTTGAGGAAAGAGTCAGAGGGATTACCTGTTTAACTGGCCAAGGGATGGGGGAAAAGTGTAAGAGACAGTCTTCCTCCATCAAGCAAGAGTATCTCGCATTAGACTACTGAATTAAAGTATTATTTGCAGGCTACATATTAGCCCCCATCAAAGTTACTAATATTCTCTAAACATTTGGCAAGTATTCAACATTAGTAAAGAAACATGTTATCTGTAGACAAGATGTGATTTATATGAGAGCTCTGATTTCCTAACGTGTTTGACTTGGTCACCAATTCATCCACATCTTTCTCTATATATTAAACTGATGATCTTTCAAAATTTTTAAATCATATGGGAAATTCTTTCCTTCAAACAGTGACAAATCCTTTAGTTGCCCCATTCAGGTGTCAGCGTCCAAGCTTTTTGTTTTGATCTCTTGAGAAGGCAAGCCAAAACCTGTGGCCACCACCCCTCAAGCCCAGGGCACTCCCATAATAAAGCTCCAACAGCCTGACATTTTTTAGTCAGGAAGCACTGGAAGTGGCTACCAGGAATGTCAACTCCT